TGAAGAGGGAGAGGAAGGGCAGAGGGGATGGCAGAGAGGAAGGGAAGAGAGGTGAGACATCTGATCTGAGAGAGGATGGGCATGATGGCGGGTTGGGCGGTGGGGGAGAGGAAGGCGGAGTGCAGCACTGCGTAGGAGGCACTAGCAAAGAAAACGGGTAAAGAAGGGAGCGATTGGCGTGAGATGAAGGGGTGCAGCACAAGCCCTCCTCCGCCATTCAGTTGGAAACTACCAGCACCTTCCTCCCCCCTCGTGATAAAAGTTATGTTTCAAGACGTCTCAAAACATTCAGTTGCTAACTGTTTTGCCCCGCCTTCCCCCTTCCCCCTTCCCCGTCCCCCTTCCCCCAGCTTCCTCCTGTTTTGCCCCTCCCGTTCTGCCTCCCCTGCCCCGCCCCGCACCCACCAGCTCTAGCACTCGGCGAGCAGTCTCCTGCTCTTCACCACTCACTCCCGCCAGCAGCGGGTGCCGCCCCTCCCCTTTCCCCCGCACGCCACCAAGGGAAACTCCAGCCTCGCGCCTCCCCGCGCGTGCCTGCACTGCGCAAGGGGGAAGGGGAAGCGCGGAAGTTGAAATGCGGGAGTGGCGCACACGTGGGTTCGCACACAGAGGTCACGCACACGTGGGTTCGCACACAGAGGTCACGCACACGTGGGTTCGCACACAGAGGTCGCGCACACGGGGACGGACTGCTAAAAGCTGTTCCGAAGCCTGAGTGTAACCCTAAAGGTCGCGTCCCGTACCTGTAAACGGAGCGCTTGAAAAGCGTTGCTCTGTATGGCCAAGTCGGACAGGTGTAATCAACAACGGAGCCGCGTGCCACGCGCCGCCCCGCCGCATTAGTAGCTGGCGAGTTATGAGGAGGCTTCTGACCGGGGCTAGCGAGCCGAGAGCCATCTTATCAACACTGCAAAGAAAATATTAAGTTGAAAGATTACTACACCTATTCGCGATCAGACACGCGCGACGCGAGTTTTGAAAACGGGCTTTCCTGTAGCGTCACCCACTCTTGGTTACTTTTCGGAATAGCAGGTTAGAGCGGAGTCGGATCAACGGCGACGCGTGAATCTAAGAACCGTGATATGCAAACTTTCCCTTCGCAACGGTTAGTCGAGTCGGGTCGCGTGGCAAGCGCGAGAGTTAGTCGCTGGAATTTGCTCCGTGCGAAATTCGCACTCTGGAAAAGTCGAGTCGGGTCGGAGTGAGACGCTCTGTCTACGCCTCCACCTCCGTCTACGTCTACGTCGCTATCGTTCCCTCAACGTTCACGTCTATAGACGTCTACGTCTCCGTCGACGTCAGATGTATGGATGTGCCTGAGTCAGGAATGCGATTCGGCTTCTGAAAATCGGGTTCCTGAGTGTCTAGCTGAGGTCAAAACTCCTTACTAGGGAAATCTAAAAGCAGATCCGACTCCCCGCATCTCGCGGAAATCTGAACATGATTGCGCGGCGTGTATCTGAGCGTGTCCCTTCGGCGAGTGATTGCGGGACGCGATCAATGCATCCTCGGAACCATGGCTGTCGCGGAGCGGGTGTACGCGGCGCGTGTTACTAAGAAGCACTTGGTTTAGGCAGAGTCAGCACCGATTAATCTCAGCTCTGGCCAGCACTCTGACAAGAAACGGATTGTAACGCTAAGGTAATCCTAATCAACATGACAGTATAATTTTAGGGTGGCCATTTACAGAACTTAAAACTAAATCCATCTCATATGATATCAAGGATTACAAGTTCGTGCAAGAAAAAGGTGAATTGTTTCCTAACGCGACAGAGCATGATTGTAGCACGCAGGCGCATAGCCATACATAGTATCAGGTTGCAACTAGTAAGCGACACGCATATCCTGACAGTTTTCTGCGGTAGCATGATTTCCCGGCATCTTGTGTTGATTTCATGACTACCCATGGAATTGCTACCAAACGCGCCCAGTCCCACTTCTCTCGCGCCGCGAGCTCCAATACGCCATCATCAGCAGAATCAACGCGCGTAAGACCGACGATGGCCAGGAGCTCGGTCAGCACTTCTCGATCCTAGCAACAGCATGAACACAAGCCTGCACGAACCTGCGCACGCCTGCACGAACCTGCGCACGCCTGCACGAACCTGCGCACGCTTGCACGAACCTGCGCACGCTTGCACGAACCTGCGCACGCCTGCACGAACCTGCGCACGCCTGCACGAACCTGCGAAACCATGGACAAGCTTTCGCGAGCTTGCGTACGCACAAGCAGCCTTGTATGTCCTCAGCAGGCTCTTAGTCCGCCATCATTGGTACCGAAGCGCCCATCGCCGCGCGCCGAGAGTTCTGCCGGCACTGCTCGATCATGGCGGCGCGCGCCTGCATGAGCCCGTCGGGGCGGAACGCGCAATCCACATTCGACCAATCCACCCACTCCGCCGCCCCCTTCTCCCCTCCGAACGCCGCCGGAAGCGTCGCGCTGGTTGCCCGGACCCGCCGGTTGGCCGCCGGCGCCGCCGGCGGCGCAAACGCCTTCGTGTCCGCTCTCGCAGCGGCGGGAGCGGCGGCGCCAAAATTCCAGGGGGAGGTCGGCCCGAAGCGCGCGGGCTCGTCGACGTTCATGTATTCCGCGGCGCCGCGGTCCCTTGCCGGAAAGTACGCCGCTTCTGGCGGGAAAGGGTCGTTCATCATGCCGGCGGCCGTTTGCGGCCGTTGAAAACCAGTAGTAGCAGTGGCAGCAGCAGCAGCAGCAGCAGCACCAAGAGTACTTTTATTAGTAGTCTTGGTAGCGATGCTCTGTCCTGAACAAACCTCATCGCCGCTTTCAGAGCTGTGTTGCGATACCTCCGCGTCGGGATGCGCGTGTACGCTGCTTTCGCGACACGGCACGTAGATCGGACGGCCCAGATGCTCCTGCTGCTGCTGCTGCGGCTGTTGCAGCTGCTGCTGTTGAGGGTGAGTCGAGTGGACTGTCGCGTCGAGCGAGCGACGGCGACGGGAGATTTGAGCCGCGTATGGAGAGTATAACGAGTTTTGTAGTATCGGGTTATGAGACGGGCGCTCGAGTTGGTCGAGCTGAAGGGACCGCCGGGGACGTCGTTGATCGTCCATGGCGTAATCCAGAGCTGCCAGACGGCAGTACGCTTAGAAAGAACTGAGGACAATAACTCAAAAAATCACCTTGGCAGATGGAATTTACGGTGGAAACTCGGATGAGGAAGCAGCAGAAGAAGTCAACTTGGTAGTACCAGTGCCGCTTCAAATCAATTGCTTCGCAATAGATGCTGAAGACTGTTGATGTGATCTACGGAAAGCAGAGCAGACCGCGATAATCTATTGGAACCAGGCAGAGCCCTGTGAAATAAGCAGACGCGCGGGGTGCGCCAGACTTAGTCTAGGTCCAAACCAACAGCCTAAGACTGATTCGGAGGTGCAGCAAACATAGAGTAGCTGCAACAGAATGTGGATTAATGAAACTGGCAATGCTTTCTTCACTAGGGAAGGGAAGCAGCAAGGCCAGCAGTGTGTGTGGTTCACGAATCAATAAGGGCTTTGTTGGCCATGTGGGCTCTGCCTGCCCACACAAGCAGCAGTAGTGAAGGATTCAAATTTCACAGGCATCAGGTGTGGGATGCAGCACAGGATGTTCCACAGCCTACAGTACAGTATGAGTGAGTGAGGGAGGGAGGGAGGGAGGGAATGAGGGATTGAGAGAGTGGGACGGGACGGGATGCACACGCGATGATCGAACAGCCAACAGCAGAGTGAGTGAGTGAGTCTGTGAGGCTGTGAGGATTTGAGTGAGTTTTGGGGGGAATGAGTACGATGGACACAGATTTTTCTACAGTCATGTACAGCGTCCAGTATGATTGAGTGAGAGAGCGAGTGAGGGAACGAGTGAGGGAGGGAACGGGTGAGGGAGGGGTGAGGAAGAAATCAAGCCTGGAAATTGGATCTGAAGCTGAAAGGGCATTGGACGAGAAAACAGTGAAGGGTTGCTTGGGGGTTGACCGATACAGTTGGGGGGAAGCGGAAATGAAGCTGCGCGATGGGGAGAGAAAGCGCAGGGGGCAGAGAAGAGTCCATTCGGAACCGAACCGAATCGACCAAACCATTCTCAGGCAAGGCAAGAAAGCTCGGTTCTTGGCGTTGTCTGAGGTCTGTACAGTGGTTTTCTTCGGAAAGGAAGGCTAGGAAACGTCCGCCGAACTATTGATGGTCCCACAGCGCTACACTGATCCGGTTTGGGAATACCGAAGCAAGAGTTATGGAGGTGGCGGAAGTATGCCTCCGCCTGAGGCGCCCGAAACAGCAATGGAATGCATATAGCTGACCAATGACAGCACGTCCTCAGGCCAGCTGGCTTGGTGTGTGCTTCACAGCAGCTGCTAGGCAGGGCGGCCACGCTGGCAAAACCATTCAATGGCCAAAAGATGCTTATGAAGAATAAACCAATCGGATTGTAGAAGAAAACACGATTGCCGATTCTCACTTGCGACAGAAACGACGACGTGGCGTTCCGAATGGAAAATGGCCCAACTACGAGATTTTGACGAGATACTGCCCACGGTTTGTGGCAACCTCACTGCACTGGAGCCAACCAGAGCACCGCATTTGGTACAACAGATGCAACAGAAATCTGTCCAGCCTGTCGCTGGATCCCGCCACAAATTTCCATGAAATGCATCGAGTTGTGTTTGTCTTTTTCCTGATTCGCAAAACGCGGTTGTTGGATGGAGGCGGGTCACGACTCACGCGGTTCTGCTGCCGCTGTAGCACCGCAGAAGGGAGCATCCGACAATTGCCATATACCACAAACGAACACTAAAACATGATGGAAACCCAAGACAGTCTACACAACACCTTACATGTTTTTAAAAACATATGGACTAATTTCAAAGCAAACCAACCACAACACAAAAACCACACTCAACTCATGGCACAAAGGCTAGCCGTAACTTGAGTCTACTTACTGCAACCTTCCTATACACGTCTTGTTAATCTTGCCGTGCATCAATCTCACTCCCTGCCCCATTGCCTCACAGCTTTTCCGAGTCCGAAAGTGAACCACTAGAGGCTGCCAGACCTGGGACCAGCACCAACGCAGATTCCGAGGTTTGGCCCAAGTCTGCAACTGCCAGGATCCTGTCAGCCTGGGAAGTGGCGCGAAAGCCAGCAGAGCTGGGGAGTTGAAGGGGGTTTGAAGGAGTAGAGAGAGGTGCGGTCATAGGGGATGTGAGAGGACCAGCAGCAGCCGGTACAGTTGGGGCAACGAACCCCTCAAGTGATGCAGCAGAGGTGCCCCCAGCAGTAGTGAAAGCAGCGGCGGCGGCGGCAGCAGCGGTGCTGGCTGCGGCGGCAGCGTCTACCCCAGCCCTCAAGCTTGCAACATACTCTGTGAGGTCTGAGGTTCGGGAAATCCCACAGGTCCGGGACCGCCGAGCCAGAACGTTAGGTGCGGAACTGCAATCTTCTGCAAGAGGGGTGGAGAAGGAGGTGGAAAGGAGGGGAGCCGAGGAGGAGGAAGGAAGAAGAGGTTGCGAGCTCCAGGTGTTGAGAAAGGGGGAATCTAGTCCGGATAGAGGAGGAGACACGTGGTGGTTGAACGCAGACTGCTGCTGTTGGTCTTGCTGCTGGTGCTGCTGCTGGTGCTGCTGCTGTTGCTGCTGCTGCTGCCGAAGCAACTTCCGCAAAAGCATCTCCCGTTGCCTCTCCTCCTCCTTCTGCTGCTGCCGACTCTGTTCCTGCTGCTGCTCCCACTGCTGCTGCTGCTGCTCACGTTGCTGCCTCTGCTGCTGCTCTTCCTGTTCGCGCTGGTACTGCACGCGCATGTGATGGGACCACCGCTCCCTCTGCGACCACCGGCCCCGCTTCACCTGCCATGCAGGCCGGTCCGACAGCCCACGGGCTTTACCCGCTGCGGCAACACCAGCACCACGAGACGCACCGCCAGAAGCAGAAACAAGAGCATCAGCAGGAGAAATAGGAGCAGCAGGAGCTGCAGAGGCAGCAGCAGCTGAAGCACCAAGGATGGGTCTGCCAATGCCGCTGCTGCTGCACACAGTGCTGCCACCGCTGCAGCCCCTGCCCCGCCCAAGCCACCCGCCGAACCTCTTCTCCCCAGCCATCCGCTCCAAAGCAAATTCGTTGGCTCGGATGCTTGCTTCGATCATGCCTTGTATATCTCGGCCACTTTCCTCCCCTGCTCCTCCTGCTGCTCCTGCTAATGCTCCTGCTGCTGCTACTCCTGCTGCTTCTGCTGTTCCTTTCACCCCCACTGCAGCAGTAGCAGCAGCGGGAACAGGAATAGCAGCAGCAAGGAGGTTACTGCTAGCAGCTGTGAATCCATAACTGTTCCCAGTGGTGCTTGTGTTGCAGGTGGCACCTAGAAACGAATCCAGGTGCATATGGGGAAGGTCGCCTCTCCTCCTGCTGCTGCTGACAGTAGTGCTGCGGCTGACGCTGCTGCCGCAGCCGAGAGTGTTGCTGCCAGTTCTGGGGGTGCTTTCGACGGTGCCTGAAGCAACAGCAGCAGCAACAACCGCAGCAAGGTCTCCGCTGCTTGTCTGCTGAAGCTGCTGCTGTTGCTGCTGTTGCTGCTGCTGCTGCTGCAGGAAAAGCAGTTGCTGTTCCAACCCTTGTTCCCAGGGCAGGAGCAACATCTCCCTTTCCAGAATCCCCACTTCTTCCAGCTCCTTCTGATGAACCTGCTTGTTGGGTTGAGGTTCAGCAGCCGCCGAGCCTGCCAAGGAGGTCCAGAGACTGGGGTCCGTGATAGCCGCGGCAGAGATAGCCCCGGCAAAGACAGCCTCGGCGGGGACCCCCTCGGCTGAGTCAGGCTCGGCAAAGGCAGGTTTGGTGAATGCCAGGCAGGTGAGGCAGGCAAGTCCCATTGTCCCCATTGCCACCTTCACATCAACCCCTTGTGCCCCACACACCGTGCATTCTTCTGAACGTTGCACTTGGGCGGAAGGGCGGCTTGGGCGCTGCAACGTGAACGTTGGGAGCAGGTGTGGAGAGGGAAGAGCGGTGCTGGTACATCCAGGACTCTGATTGGAGGGTTGGAGGGCGGGAAGAGCACCGAGAACTGCAGTGGACAACGGGGAGAGCGACGAGGCTGCAACGGAGGGGGAGGAGAAGGAGGGGGAGAAGGTGGTTGATAGGCTCGCGGGAATAATGAATGCTCGCCCCCCTCCGCCGCCGCTCGTCCCGCTGCTGCCGCCGCCGCTCCCGCCGCCGCTGCTGCGGGCGCCGCCGCCACTCCTGTGGGCGCGGGCGAAGCTCCGACTGTGCGGATCCGCCGCCGCGGAGGTGTCAGCAGCCGCGCGCGCCGCGGATTCGCTGCCGCTTTTCCGCGCGCGCAGCGCGGCGCTGGCGGCGCCGAAGCTCGCGGGGAAGGGGTTGGGCTGCAGCAGCGGAATGGCGAGGGGCGCGCCAGGGGGGGATGCGGAAGCGGCGAGCGCGACCATTGCCTCTTGATTCGGGTCCACCGCGGAGAGCAGGCGGCTGCGGAAAGGACGCGCGGCTTCCGCCACATCTCCGCGCACATTGTCATCGACTGGGGGGGGCGCGGAAGCGGCGAGCGCGACCATTGCCTCTTGATTCGGGTCCACCGCGGAGAGCAGCCGCAGCGGCCGCGCAGCGACTGCCGTTTCCGCGGGTTGCGCAGTTTCCGCCGCCGCATTTCCGCGCGCGCCGCCGCCGGCGAAAGCGCCGCATTGCACGTCCGACCAGGCGGCGAATGTTCTCAAGGTGACTGATTCGAACTGGGGGTCGAAATTTCCGCCTTCTGATTGCGAGTTGGGAACTGGGAACTGGGAACTCAAACGGGACTTTCCGTTTTGCGAATTGGATCCCCCGACAAGCGAGGTTTTCATCTCCGAGTCTAGGGTTTCGCCGAATTGTTCCGCCCTGTCGTTCCCCTTGCTGTCAACTTGCGCGGAATACCATTCTCCGCTCGCCCCGTCCTCCCGCTTTTGTCCCTCTTGCTGCGGCTGCGCCGGTTGTTCCTTCCGCTGCGGCTGGTGTTGCTGTTGCTGTAGTAGCAGGGATGCTTGTAGCGCGGATATTGACGCCTCAAGCTCCGCTAAAGATGCTTCCGTCGACGCGGAGTTTCCCCACGGCGCGATCTCCGCCAACCTAATCCCTCCCTTCTCCGCCGCTCCGCCGCGCGTACAAGTAGCACCGCTTCCGCCTCCTTCCTGCGCTTCCGCCGGCGCCGGTCGCGCGCGAATCACCGCTTCCAGCAGGCCCTCGTACGTTCCGCTTTCCGCGCCCTCCGCGCCCTCCTCGCCGAACCGTCCGTGGACTTCCGCCTCCTCCGCAGCTGCTGCCGTCGCGATTTCGTCTCCGTGAGCAGACGTTGATTGTAGCAGCCGCGGCGCGTCCGTCGCAAGCTGCCTCGCCCCGTACAGCGCCGTGATCCGCGCAAGCGTCTGGGAGGGAGTTCCGCCGTTCCGCCCGCCGCCCCCCGCACCAGACGCGCCAAGCACCTCTTCCATCTCCGTCTGCTCTGGCGGAACTTGCCGTTCCGCACACTCGCCCACAAAAGCCGCACGCGGATAAACCTCCGCGCGCTCGCCGTTCCGCCCCAGGCCGCCGAGCAGCGGAGTTCCCGCGGCAGGGGGACCGCTCTGAGCGCTTTGCGCGCCCTGCGCACTCTGTACGCCTTGAGCGCTGCTGCGAGCGCTCGGGCTTCGACTCCGGCTGTCGCCGCTGGCGGAAGCCGCGACCACGCGGCGCGACATTGCGGGGGGTGAGTTTTCCGCAAGTTGGGTGAACAGAGTCTCTTGCGAAGTATTGACGGATGGAAATTCCATGGTGGACGGCAGTCGTTGTAGATTATCACGTCCCGCCAATCGCGCTACTAAGATGATACCTCAGATTGTAGAAACCGCAGATTATCGCGAACACGGAGCTGGTCACGTCTCTGGCTTGCTTATATAATCTGCTAGCTCCTGAAATTCCGATCGCTCCTTGCACCGCGCTGCCGATCGAGTTCCCTTAACTTCGCGCCTTCTGCTGCTGCTGCCGCCGCCGCCACCGCTGCTGCTGCTGCTGCTTCTTCTTCTGCTTCTCCAGCTGCTGCCAGCAGTGCTGTTCCTGCTGTTGCTGCTATCGCTACTATCGCTGCTGTCGCTGCTATTTATGATAGGAGGGAGAAACAAACTCCACAAGGATTTGTGAAAGCTGTCACGGGGACGATGATCAACGGCGATTCCAATGGTGTCTCTGATTCCATCGACGATCAGTAGTCGCTGCTGTAAGAGTCTGTGGGTGTGACGCGCTGTCACATTGATGCTACTCTAGTGGGCGACCCTCTTTTCCTGCTGCGCCCCCGCTGCTGTTGCTGCTGTCGCTGCTGTTTAGGTAGCACACTCGCCCGCGCACGATCGGCTGGGTTGAACAGAAGGCTACTATATCAGCGTTGACGTATGAAGAAGAACGGAGTTTATCAAGCGCAGGAGCCGAAAATCGAGAGAAAAAGGACGAGTTTTTTGTCTCAAAGACAGGCTTGCGCCAGCTCCTTTTGTCGTCGCGATATGCGACGTCGCGAAACGCGCCAGGTTGATTTAAATGTCGTATCGTCGCGAGCCTTATACGTGAAGATTAGAGCGGTGGGAAGTGCGGTGGGTGACAGCTCACAAACTCCACGCGTGCAGCGGAACAGCTTGTTGGACCTTGGAACACTTTTTTTGGCGCCTCGAAATTTGTCTCAGTGGGGGATGCGGCGGGTGACAGCTCACGAGCTCCACGCGTGCAGGAAAACTAGTTGGACCTTTGAGAGAAGTTGGAACACTGACGGAGCTAGGAACAAGAGCGGAGAGCGGTCGAGATTCGAGCGTGCAAAATGCAGCCGAGCAGCTATGGTCTCACGACACGAATTCTGTGCTGCGAACTTGGATATGCTTGAAGAGAATTGGCGGCGCGAAGAATGTGACATCGAGGCGCTGAATTTCGTAGAGGAAAAACTCAAGCAGTTGGAGGATGAGCTGCTATGCAGCTATTGCTGCCGTGAACTCGTCGTGTTTCGTTTCTGACAGTCTGGATGGTAGGGAGAACAGCTACTCTTGGAGACGATGTTGCGAGACGTGACAGAAGCGATGAAGATCGGACATTACGGTAGGGACTGGCATTTGTACGAATGGATGAGTTCGCGTTGCTGTTTGCGTGGACGCTACCTGGAGATAAAAGCTGGAGCTGCATAGAAGAGAGGGATTGTGAGTTTGTGCGACTCGAAAATGCGGAAGATCAGATGCGAACCAGCTTGCTTTGCGGAGCGCCAGACGAGAAATCAGCTGGAGAGCCGAAGCGCAGATGCACTGCGAATTTGCGAAGCTTCTACGAAGAAACGACGACTTGTGGCGAAATGGGAACGATCGGCATGCGAAAGCGATGGTGGGGTAAAGAGGGGGAGGATGGGGTGCAGGGCGGATGGAGGAGAAGAGAGGGGGAAGGGAGTTAGGGGGAAGCGGGGGAGGAGGCATTCGCAAGTGTGGGCTGGCAGAAGCACAACAGAATCCTTCCCCCTCCGTGGATATCAAGAACTGTAGTGCACACGTTCACTGCTAATTCACGATTGAGAAAGCTAGTGCACGCTAGCTGTCGGGCAGCCTGGCGAGGGAGTGGATGCGTTTGGGCAGTTCTAGGTCAAATTTGCTTGGTGGTTGCATATGCAGAAAACGTGCAACCTGCCCAAAAGTCCACAGATCTCACGTGGCAACCAGTGAAGTGAAGAGAAGGCTCCCCGAGGGCATGACGTCGGATCAAAGGGGATCAAAGGGAAGGAACAAAGGAAATAAGATCGGTGGAAAATAGAAATTTCCTCTGAAAGTGCTCAGCACCACAGTCACCAGACATGTAACTGGCATGCGGAGGAAAAGTTCTAAAATTCCTCTCAAAATTCACACTAGCCGTCGAGATCCATATCCTTTTAGTGGGTCTGGATAAACTATTTCACGACTTCTGAAAACAGGGTGTATTAGAGGGTGTACTTGCGAAAATCTCCATTTTGTGCAGAAGCAACGCACTGGTGCAATATATAATCAACAAAGTGGGCATATCCCAAAAAACGCCAAATCCACCAATCAACAAGTACCGCGTATACACTGGGCACACGACGCGGCAGCTTGAATTTTGACGATTCGCGACTTCTTTTGGATTCTCCATGTGCTGCTGAGTGCGCTGTTTGATGTGAAACGAACATTTTGATGTGAAAGCTTCTCCACTTGGGTATTGGGCTCCATATCTGAAGTAATTTTATCGTGGTGGCACCATGCAGTCCAATCGTTCCATCATCACTCAGGATGATCTAATCGTGCTACGAAGTACGTAGGCCTTTTAAAATCTGGTAAATGATTCTTTTAAGGCCACACAATGTGAAGTCCTAAAAAACAGTGGGCTAATAGGAAAACAAACTCTATACGATTTAAGGCTGGCAAAATGAAGAACGTGGGCCCCACGTGGGGAGTTCTCAATCCGTCACCGCGTTCAAACCACACATTGTACTGTAAAATATAATCCGATCGTTGTTCGTATCTGGCCATGAGCTAAGCAAAACAAACGTCCCCATGATCTGGACTCGTCGTTATCTAGACGTCTGACGTGTCCCTAGTGAGTGCGAAGTACGTAACAACGTTTCGGCGATGAAATCTGGCAGAGTTCAGCAGTAGCGAATCCCCAAACGCGGAAACGATTTGGAGTCCAGTTTTGCCCCGTTGAACCGTATACACCCTGTTTCGCGCTAGCAGAGCATCTGGTTGCAGAACATGCACTGGTTGTAGAACGTCACCACGTTTGAAATGGTCTTATCACCGACGGTACAAGCACATTCACAAGAAAGCGGTTAGCTAGGATGCTGCATGGTAAAGAACAGTAACCAAGCGTTTCAAAGCGGTTGAAAAGGGTATACAGCGATAAAGAAAAATTTTGCCCCCAGTACCACTCCGTCAGCTGGTGCGGCTTTGCCCGCAGGTTTCAGCCATACGGTTTATGGCACCTGACCGCACTGTAGCAGCGAATCGCGCAAGGTGAGAGGGTCGAGAAACAGGGTGTATGAACTTGTGTGGGCGGGTGGCAGTCACCTGTGGGGAATGAGGAGGGGAATAAGGCACCTCAGTACACTACTGGACGTGGCAGAGTAAGGACGTGGGCCCAATCTACTTTGATCGGCTCTGATCGGATCGGTTCGGGTCGGATTGCTTGTGATAGTTGCATCCCAACTTTGGCGATACGGACGAATCTCAGTATCTTGGTAATGTCGCCAACATCATGTCCCAACAAACAGTTCTCGCCGATCTGGGTGTATTCGCAAGGATTTTCGAGACCTCATGGCAAGGCGTGTTTACATTTCGCGTACATCGCCCAGGTCGCCGATCACATGCAATCAAGTGATTGGGGCTGATTCTGTCTGATCGGGTCTGATCGGGCTGCTTGAGGCGGTTGATTAAGTTGGCGCGACCAGCTGATCGCGATCAGCTGATTGCCCCTAATTGCCCGAAATATGCTTCCCACCTTCCTCAAAGTTTTTTATCGCCTCTGATCGCGCCGATCAAAGTCGATTGGGCCCACGTCCTAATAGGCGGATTTAAAAGGGTGAAGGTAGAGATGAAATACCTAGGGGTGTGTAAGGATATTTCTCGATATTCCTTAGCGCACCCTGCAACATCGCGTACAGCAACAACCGTTGTTCGCACGTTACTACTAACGGGGCTTCGCCGACTTCGCGCGCACTGTTTCACCAAACCTCGCACTGCTGGCCCGGCCGTGTCGGCCTACGCTTCGGGACTAGCCCGAGCCTCGCTGTCAACATAGCACTAGCTAGCTCGCACACACCGTGTTACCGTTTGCATGTTTCGAGTATAAATGTTCGCTCATGCCTTCGCTCACATTTTGTATTCGTTTGACACCTTAGTGCAATTCTCGCTACTTCGATTCATTTCATCCGTAACTTGGTATCAGAGCCTCTTTCTTTCGTAACGCTACGATACGTGCCGTCGCCGCAAATGCTGCTGCCGCACCGTTCCAAGGGCGCTTCTTTGCATGCAATCGGCCGGGACACCGCAAGAGCGAATGCCCGGAAAACGCTAAGGGAAAGGGGGAAGTTGAGCAGCAGAAACAGACCAAGCAGCAGGGAAACGCTGGGAGTCATAAGCAGACGGGCCCTCTACTGACAGGTCACGCCGCTCGCCCGACCCAACCGACCCTCACCGAGTGATTGTGCCGGTTCACTCAATCGACCACACCTGGCCGAATAAGGAGGGTACTACGGTAGACAGCCCCATACTGCTTAGTGGGAAAATCGGGACGGAGTTAGTAAAAATCTTCGTAGACGGAGGGGCCAGCCACAGCCTTATCAACATTGCCACGGCACGAAAACTGCGACTGCCACTGGACAAATGCTTACCTGAGATCGACGCAAGACTGGTCGACGGCACGCCACTGGCGATACGGGAACGTGTGGACCGAGTTCGGATTCGATGCGGGAGTAACTTCACGTTTAGCTAGGAAATGCTCGCAACGACCCTCAACAGAACCGACATTTTACTCGGCCGTGATTGGCTGCGACGACACAATTCGAGAATCAACTGGACGACGGGTAACTGCGCTGTGCGAGTGAACGGTAACAACATCGCCTTACCTCGCTGGGGCTCGCTGTCAAACTCATATGCTATAGTTTGTGTAGGCTGTAGTGGGTTAGACAATATGGGGTACAACACTTTTAGGTTTACCTACTTGTACCCACCTG